TACTGCTATTAATATTAGAGTCAATCAGGTTAGGAAACCAATTCAGTGCTTTTAGTGTCAATGAGGTTAGGGAACCAATTCAGTGCTATAGATTAGTGTCAATGGGGTTAAGAAACCAGTTCAGTGTTGGTAGAATTGTTCTAGTTAGGAAGCCATTGCAGTGCTTGTAGAGCCATTTTAGTTATTTTACCTCATTAGCATCAATCATCTTGCAAGCCTTTGAAAAAAAWTTTTTTATCATGTTGTTAAAGATGTTACACGGTTTACCTTCAATTTCTCCAACAAATGTGAAGGAATTAGTGAATGAATATATGAATGGAAAAAAACCGACACCTTATTCCCTGTTTATTATTGTTTGTTAATAATCTATGTTTACAGCATAAATGTGACTAACAGACTTACTGAATGAATGAATGAATGGATGGATGGATGGATTGATAATTGGATCAAGATGGATAAATGAATGGAGGGGTGGATGATTAATTGAATTGATGGGTGGATGCATAAGGGCAGATCTAGGAAGGGGGGGAGTGGAGTACTCCACACACCCCCCAGTGAATTTTTTATTTTCCTGGAATAGACTACTTGGGGCTCTTTTGGTTCTCCATCTTTATAAGATGAGGATACCCCTTAAATGCACAACCACCTCCTTTAGAAAATCTCCAATATGCTCCTGAAGCATGATTGAGTGAAAGAATGGTTGAATGACTGGATGGATAGTCTAAGACTGATGAATGGGTGAACATGGATGATTAAATGGAAAACACTAACCACTGTTTCTTGCAGATTTAGAATTGTATATTGGATCATGGTGTTACAAGGGGTTGGTACTCTTCTACCCTGGAATATGTTTATTACAGCACATGCAGTAAGTAGACGGAATCTTATATAAATTATTTAACTTATATTTTACAACCATCACTCCATTTAAGGGGCTCTTTAATGAGGTTCACTTCACACACGCTACTACTACATTCGATGCACTTCATTCTAAATGCATAGCAGCATATATGAAGACCAAAGCAATTTTTTCATCTTGTAAAATGATTGATTTTTTWACCTAACTTGGTGGCAACAGTAATACGGTGCGATTCTATATGAAACTGTGTCAATGAATATACTTGCAGATTCATAATATACATTTTTATTTCAATCAGTTTATCAGTTTATGTATTCTTTTTCTTCTTAAATGGCGAATTGTACATTGATTCTAAAAGGATTGATTTAAGGTGCTGACACAATGTGTGATGTTGCATGTGACGTTACACAAGTAGAAGTAATTTCTATTTCTGTGACATCACATGCAACATTGCACTCTGTGACACCCMAAAAACAGCCTCTTTTGTGCAACATTGCAGGCAATATCACATTATGTATGCTTACTTTTAATGATACTATTCAAAATAAATTGTGTTCATTAATTCTTTGATTTTTTCCTCCAGTATTTTCAAGAAAAGTTGGAAAAAAATAAGTCACTCAAACATGACTTTGAAAACTACTTTGCAGTTGCGGCAATGGTTCCAAATGTCTTAATGTTTTTACTGAATACATTGTTTAAACACAAGTAAGTTGTTTCTGTTGTAATTTTTGTTTTTGTCGTGAGTGATGATGAAAGTTGAAGGAGGTCACAAATTTTCTTGAAACTGGTCATGCTTCAGTAATAATAATTGCTTAAACCAAGAGTGTTGTAGATCTCACAAACAGGAAGCTCTTTGTCATGCTTGAATATCCATATTTGTTTCAACTCTCGTGACTAGCACAAGGCTACTCAATTCCATGAATTCATTATAATTTATTATCATATATATATTTTAAATCCTTCCTAAATATTAAATTCATTTTTTTATAAGAAACTTATTTATTCTGATTGTATTTTTACTTGTAGGGTTCGTTTACAAGTACGGATGCTTACGTCTCTGATAACAATGACAGCTTTGTTTGTCCTTACGACAGCACTTGTTAAAGTGGACACATTTTCATGTAAGTTTTAATTAATTATACGTAAGGTATGTATACGTATGGCTCTCATAACTGGCTACTGCTATATTGCATAAACATTGAAAATCAATGTTTTTGGAGTGAATCCCCTTTCAAATCATTGAGCTTGTTGATTTATATATAAAGTGTGTGACTCTCTAATGAAAGTAGTAAATCCTTGCTAAGATATGAGCATTTGGAGTTTTGAAAATGCATCAAAGCAAGGCCACCAAGGCCTCCAGTGATRAATACATACAATTTTACTCTCTATTTTTGATCTTCTTTGGTATTCAGTCAAATATAACAATTTTTTGAAAATAGTTTTCATGAAGAACTTTCTTGAATAGCATTGATAGTTTCTGGTAAAAAGGCCTCATTTTCTCTCTAAAAAAGAGTTATAAAAGTTATGTTAAGACTGACATTTTTGTTATGAACCTTTTTGATATTATCTTTTTGGTATAAACTATAACAGTAATTATTGTCATCAATCTTGCGAGCTTTTGAATCCAAATTATTCAAAATTATTTTCAATTAATTGAATCCTATTTGTATAGGAAATCGCACGATCTCGAGTACAATTTGGAAATTAATAGACACGACGTTATGAGTGTCTATTAATTCCAAATTGTATGAGAAGATTGTGCAATTTTTTGATAATAGTTCACTCAACAAAATTTCAGTAAAAAATGTGAAGCGACACCGTTCATCTTTGTCTATTTGGCGGCCGATTTTCAGTCCATCGCGCAACTGAAATGCATAAAAAAGATTAGTTCTTATTTGTTTTTACGGCTTTTTTTTTTGCCGCTGTTGACATTGTTTTGGCCGTGTTTACATAGCGACTTAATTCGGTATTCCTACGGAGTACAATTAACGCTATAATTGTACTCCTTTCGACCAATCAGAGTCGAGTAATTTTGTTGAGTGTACTATAAGTTATTTTATATGACAATGTTCTTGCAATAAAATTTTAAAAAATTATTAGGTATATTATAAATAACAATAGTAATACATTATATTTGACTTTTTTACTTATATTCATCATTTTATTTTATTTTTCAGGGACCAATAATTTCTTCTACATCACCATAGTAACAGTTATCGTAGTCAACAGTGAGTACAAAGTGTTGATACTTGTAAGGGTTTCATAACAGGGCATAAAATAATGGCCGCTAATAAGTCACGGGTAAGCTGCTGGTCATGATCACCAACCAAGTTAGTTTTATCTTTTTTTTTTTTCTTTTCGTGTTCAAAATGTGGCTTGCCTTGCTGGAAAGGCCTTTTTTGCAGTCTACAATCTTGGAAAAAAAGAGTTGAGAATTTTTCATCCAATCATGAAATAGTAGAATTTACCTTATTAAAAAAATTATTATCCATACCCCCTCTCCCCCAGGACAATGTTGGTCCCAGTGGGTAAAGCAGCCCTGTATCCCTCGAAACAACATTGTTTAGAGGGGAGGGGGTTAAGGGGAATTTCTCATGTTTTTCATGAAAATACCATCGAAACCAAAAATTTCTCAACATTTTTGACCAAGATTGTAGGTACTGAACCACAAAATGGGAATGACAGAAGTAGGAAGTAGGAAAACAGCAACCACATCTATTGGGATCTACCCTGAGGATATTAAAATCCAATAATTATAAACATTCCACCAATCCCTATTCACAAACTGAGATRTGTTTTCTCTCTCTTTAGTGATGAGTGCCGTATTCCAAGGCGGGCTGTTTGGACTAACTGGTATGATGCCTTTCAAGTATACTGGTGCTGTCATGACTGGACAGGGTATCGGCGGTACTTTTGCTGCTCTGGCTAATATTGCTGCTTTATTTGGTAAGTGTTTGGCTCAATCTTAATGTCTGATCACCAAACCCATATCTAAAAATAACCGGTCATCAGATAATATTTAACAAGAATTTGAACTTGTCTGGTCAAATCTTTGCCTTTTCGGTAATTTTGGAGAGTAATGTTGAGCAAGATGCAAGATATGATTGATTGAAGAAAACATTTTGGTTGGCCATCATGACTGCTGACTGATCAGCCAGTTTTTTTTGGCCCTGCAAACTTGTCTCTTAAAAAGGTAGCCACGCCTTTGCATCGAAGCGAGATGAACGGTGAGCTTGCAATGATAGAGACATGAATAATATATTGTCCAAGGTGTTTGAAAAAGGTCTCTATCATTGCAAGCTCACGGTTCATCTCGCTTCGATGCAAAGGCACGGCTACCTTTCAAGATGGCACAGGGAACTGTGAAGGAGTGTATTGCTGCTAATTAACGGAACAAAAGAAAGTGTTCAAGGGAATGATTCTGGTAGTCGTATTAAATGATGCCATAATGCAAGTGCCCTATGAAGACATCTTATTTTAATTTCCCTAAATCTTCCTTCCCTTCATAATTCAGGAGGCAAAGATGCGATTTCAAGTGGCTTTGGATACTTTTTTTCTGCTGTTGTTGTCTTGTTTATTTGTTTGATCTCCTACATATTATTACCTCAACTGGTGAGTTGAAGCTGATAATATTTTACATCTATGTAATATATACAATATTCGCGTGAAATGTGTATGAGGATTTAAAACAGAGAGCTGCAAGTGAGCTGTTTTAAACCTTGTACAGATCTCACGCAAATATTGTATATTACTCTGAAGATGTCTAGATCGATGCTTCTTTTTTAGGGTAAAAATTTTAACATTAAATGCAATTTGGCAGAGATATTTCAAAGTCAACATTAAGCAAACCAGAACGAATTCTGTATCAGGGTTTACAGATGCCTTCACGGTAGTGATTTGGTATTGTTCCAAGGTCATTAATTATTCATGTATTTTTAAAGTGATTTTATGGAGGGTAGCACTCTATATTCTGGAAAAGAACTACTTCCACTGATGAGCCCTAATTTTTGTTCTCAATAGTAATTAGGATTGACTCTCTTAACCTAGTTGTACTCATTCATTTATCCAGGAATTTGCCAGGTACTACATGGAAAAGCCAGAAGAACAGACTGAAATTGGTAAGGACTTGATTGATTAACCAATAATTGTATTTTATTGGAATAATCAATATAGAGACCTGTACCCATCACCATGTTCTTGCTAGATGCCGCACACGACAAAACCTGAAACTGCAGTTTGGCGTCAGGCATTTTGTGTCCAGCTTTAGACCACTGCATCATAACAAAGTTGATAGAAAAGCCACCATATTGATTTTCATTGATAATGAGTGTTGATCAGTGTCTGGTGTTTCTGACAGTATAAAGCTAATTTTCAAAAAAATAATGAATAAAGGAACAAGGTTCATTTGGTATACCAGCGTCAGGATCTGGTCTCTAACACTGTATTAATTTCAACCTTCTCAGATGCTAGAAACATCCAAGAGCAGTCAAAACGATTAGCAAATTGGAAACTTGATACAGAGAAGGGAAGGTTTCAATCGACATTAAGTAAGTACAATTATTCAGTATTCACACCCAGTGAGATGCATAGGCTTTTCTGAGATCCACAAACAGGATGCATTGTAATCTAGAATGAGTACAAACGATAACATATGAGGCCTAATGAACAAAAGATGTTTGTAACCAAGCTGGACCATAATTCACTATGTTCACTATTTCAGAAAAAGTCCTCGCCAGACCGCGGGGTAAGGTATTACAGTGCCATCATGATGTCATCTATCTTGTACTTCCTAATAATTATTGTGGGGGGCCCACAATTTTCCATTTCTTTGTTCCTCTTGTGTAAAAATGTACGATGTTTGTGCTCCAGATGACCCCAGTAATGAACCCTGCTCTATTTATTTGTGCCTCGAACGTCAAGAGATGATATAGTGATCTATGTATGTTTATTTTTAGGTCTGGATGCCAAAACACTCATAAACGTAGAGTCAACTGACGGCAAAGAAGTTCATATTAGAACAAGTCAAAGACCACCATTCTTGAAAATATTCAAACAGGTACATAACGTCACTATACTACAAGTTTCCCCATGCCACTGAAAATAAAGCCAATCAGAATGCAAAACATTAAGAGAGAATTCTTTTCGTATTCGAACGGTGAGCGCCAAAAACTATTTTCTTGAAGAAAGGCTGTTGTACAAGGCTAAAATCTTGTTATTCAGAAAGTTTAACTTGTTTGGAAGTGGAGATGACCGATGAAAGCGGAATCAAAGTGTTAACCCAAAGCAAGAATTTGAATCGGAAATGAGGTTTAGGCCTTCATTTGCTTATTTCCCATACATTTTCAATAAAAAAGCCTGACAAAGCTACATTCTAACACAAATGCGCAACAAAACATCTTTCTACAATTGATAATACCGCTTATGTTTCTTCAGTTTCTAACTGTTAAAAAAGGTTTTGAGTGTTAACCCAAAACAAAAATTGGGATCAAAACTCATAGGAAGGTCTAGTTTTTGTCGCTTTTTGCCATTATTGCTCGTTATTGAAAAAAAACTTCCTCTTAAACTGTAAATTAAGAAAGGGTTCTCGCATATCAAAARATTCCGACCAGCGGCTCAAATGCCATTGCAAGGTTGCACGATAAAACTCGTTGCGCTGAACGTTTCAGTGTAGAGTTGGACAACTCGTAGCGCAGCATGAAGCCATTGTCGGCAACGTTATATAATAAAGCTTTTTATAAATTAACTTTCATAAATCTCACGTTTTGATTGGCTGGGAGCGCGTGCATTATAAGAGTATAAAGCACGCGCGCGCACATTTTATTTCGTCATTCGTGTCCAAAATAACGGCTTAAAATACTTTAATTTGTATTTTATTTACTTCTGCAGCGTCGTAGAGTTAGACACATTGCATAATTTCAAGGCTTCGTGTAACGTTCAATGCAACATTTAGGCCATTTTTTCTGGGCCTTTCAGTTTCCATGAAGTTTTATTAGAATGCATATCATATATCCGTTGTAAATTTGGAAGAAATAGCACAAATTAGTATGTTCAGTAGACTATAGTAGACGTACAAAACTTTGTATAAATTTGTACAATTTTGTTAGTTAACGTTTTCACGGATGTACATGTATAGTATGCACTTTGTTTGCTCTAACTTTGTGTTTAATGATTTGTGTCTTTCAGATTGCTCCGCTTGGGTTATCAGTAGCATTTGTATTCTTTGTCACATTGGCATCCTTCCCTGGTCTTACATCTAGAATAAAATCGAAAAGCACGGCTAAGAATGAATGGACAGGTACGTTACAAGCACATACACGGTACGACTTGCCTTGACATTGAAATTGCTTCCCATAAGAATTGTTATCGTTCCCATAAGAATCGTTATTGAAGAAATAGAAAACGCGCGCGCGTGCTGTGTTCCGTCATAAAGCACGCGGGAGTTGGCAGAACACGAGAGAAGTGTTAGGAGAAGCACGACGCGTAGCGGAGTGCTTCTGGACACTTCTCGAGTGTTCTGCCAATCCCCAAGTGCTTTATGACTGCACACAGCACAGCAAGCAAGTTTTTTTATTTCTTTTATAAAATACAAATTACAATAATAGATCGGAATGACGCAACGGAAAGTGCGCGCGCGTGCAATGTACTCTCATAAAGCACGCTCTCCAAACCAATCAGAACGCGACATTCATAACAGTTATTTTATAACGTATGGTACGACATGCCTTGACATTGAAATTGCTTCCCATAAGAATTGTTATCGTTCCCATAATAATCGTTATCGTATGGTACGACATGCCTTGACATTGTAATGGCTTCCCATAAGAATTGTTATCGTTCCCATAAGAATCGTTATCGTATGGTACGACATGCCTTGACATTAAAATGGCTTCCCATAAGAATTGTTATCGTACGGTACACATGCCGTGACGATAAAACACGATACGTTAACATTACGAACTTGCTTTATCGTTGCCCAATAATACCAAAACCGATCATGCTAACAGCTCATACCAAAGAGAGTTTTTTTTAAAGAAAGGGAGAGCTTCTAGTTTGCGTATCAAAAAAGCTCTGAAGGCTTGGTGAGGAGAATTGGTAATGCAAGCAGCCATTCCGCGCTCACCAGCTCTCGACGCAATATTTCATTTGCGCTACGAAAATACTTGGCAAATATATGTATAAATTAAATTGTTTTTTTTGTTTTTTTGCAGTTTTTGCCGCAATGTTGCCCACACTAATCGAGGTTTTTCTTTCCGTTTTCTTTTCAGAAAAGTACTTTATTCCTGTCTCTTGTTTTCTCTTGTTCAATGTTGGTGATTTTATTGGTCGTATAATCGCTTCGATTTTCCAATTAGTAAGTATTATAAAAGATTTGAAATACAACGCATTGTAAAATCGTAGTTATAAACCAAGTGCTTATACTCATGGTGCATAGAGGTCAGGGTTTGGGGGGGGGGGGGGGTGAGGCTTATAACTGGAAGGGCCGTAAAAGAAGAAAAAAATGGAAAAAAGATTTTGGGATTAAGAGGAACCTGCTATTTGTTTCTATTATTTTCCAACTCAATCTCTTAATCTCTTATGTGTCATCGTCGCTATGAATGAGAGATACCAGAGAGATGGACTTAAAACAGGGGGGAGAGGGGGAGGAAGTTACGACTGCAAGGATATTTTAACCCTTACACGGAAACATGGACWGCAAAGGGAAGTTATACTTGTTGTCGTGGCCTTGCAAAAGACCATGGTTTGTCACAAATCTTGTGTCAGACAACATAGATACACGAACAGTTAACAGACACCTTGCGAATACTTCTGTCACAACCACAGGGAGCCCGGCTTGGTGATGCTAAATCGGTAAAACGATCACATGTTGATGACATTACATAATAATCGTAACTCAATACACCCCTATACAAACGGTCACTACGTAATAGGATTTGTAATGCAATAGTGTTAGACGCCCCGTGCGTTACACTTTGCCGTTACGTATTTGGGTATAAGTCACGCAATACAAACAATACAAACACTGGTGTTCTATTACATAGTGACCATTGGTACATTTATAGGGGTGCATTGAGTTACGATTATTATGTAATGTCATGTCCTCAACATATGAAACGTGATCGTTTACCGATGTACCATCACCAAGCCGGGCCCCCTGTGTCACAACCAACAGTTTTACGATTTTCTTGAAGATTAACTCTGTTACTGTTGCTCTCTTTACAGCCTCGTGGAAGTAAATTACTGCCCATTCTATGTTTTGTGCGAGTAGTGTTCATACCATTATTCTTCTTTTGTAACGCTCAACCGCGTGGTGAAAATGTTCCAGTGTTGTTCAATGACGATACGTATTTTATCGTTTTTATGCTGTTATTTGGTATTTCAAATGGTTATCTTGGTAGCTTRTGTATGATGTACGGACCAGGGTAAGTAAGGGGAATTTATTTATTTATTCTAAAATGTTTATAACGAAATGAGATGGATGCACGCAAATGAGACATCAAGCCAATATCGACCCGACAGCCTTACTTGTATAACTCTTAAACAAAAGAATTTCTCATCTCGAGCTCAACTGTAATAACAGCTATTCTTGGGAGAGGGGTGATACACACCTGCTTACCATTTGAACCAATCCATCCGGTTAGAAATGTGTTTGCTAATGGTAAGAAAAGGGCAGGAAACTTTGACCTCCAACAAATGGTAAACGCGTCAACCAAAAGTAACAAAAAGAGCGGAAAAGTGGATTACCTCAATCGGAAGACTGAATTTTCCGAAACTTTCAAATCGGAAAGACACCTACCATTTGGTTTTTCCAACCGGAATGTCGTGTTTTTCTGAGTAAATGGAAAGCGCCCATTGGCTGTAAGGTCCTAGTCCCTCTCTACACTTTTTACATAGGAACCCCAAACCCTGGCAATTACCTAACGGGGTTTGTTYTTCTCGTTTTGTAGGCTCGTAGAAAAGAAAGACTCAGAAACCGCGGGTACAATGATGGCTTTCCTTCTCATTGTTGGACTAGGGCTTGGGGCAGCTTTCTCGTTCGTTGTCTCGGCTTTACTCAAGTTATGAGATCCATTAAAATTCGAAACGTGATCACAAGGAAATGAGGTGTACCTCCTTGGCTGGTCAACAGAAAGGACTGAAAACCTTTAATCAAATTTAAACATTGAGTGGTTCAACAGAAACCCTGGCAGGAGTATCGTACTTCACCAAAATGAACCCGTGTGACGTCAAACCGATGACTCACGTGATTAATTCAAATTAATGTAAATTTTGGAATGCAAGTCTCAACGATTCTGATCACCGAAAGCAAAAGTGCCCTGAGAATCAAGAAAATCAAGAAAGATATTATTATCTTTTATCAATCTATATACAATGAATATAGTTTTGTTGAGTGCAGTTAAAATGGCTGCGAAAACTGGAAGTATCTGGAGTGAATTAGATATCTTCGAATTTTAACATTGCCTAATACAGGTTGTTAAGCTTTATTCAAGAAAAAAAGATGCATTAATGTYTTGTATTAGACTTTTCTAGATTTTTGCTTGAGGGAAAAATTTTCGGAAATACATTGTTACTGCTGTTGGCATTTAATGAACGTTTTAATTTGTTATGCTATGCTTTTGTACTTTTGCATTGGACTTGTACAGTACAGAGACATCAAGACCTGCGGGGGAAAACAATTCAAATTGGCATATTTTATTTTAGTATTTTTACACGATTGAATAAAATAAATTGGGCGCGCTCATTGGTCACAATTTACGGTGAATATGACGCGCGCGCATGCTTTGTCGATTTGTGCCGCTTGCAGAGATAAATACCTTCGAGGAAAAAAACTCTCTCTCCATAATTTATTATATTCACTTGTGTTAAAAATACTAAAAACTATTATTTTCCAGATATTCACTTCGGCGAATAATTGCTTCATGCTTTCGTTTTACTGCGGTTTTCCATGTCCAGCGAACTCGAACCATTTTCAACATTTACTCTACTGCACTGCTGTATTTTGTATATTTACATYGTTATTCAAAATAGATATGTTCATATCAGTTTGATATCAGGCTTTGAATGAACGCTCGCGCAAAAGTAAAATGATGAAATACACCGAATCGAAATATGGCGACCAATTTGAATAACTATTGTTCTGCGCTGACTAGCGACTGACTAGCCTCGTGTTCACGTGGAAACAAAAGCATTTTCACATGTATAGGAGGCTAGTCAGTCGCTAGTCAGTGCATAACAATAGTTATTCAAATTGGTCGCAATATTTCGATTCGGTGTATAGGCAACCGTTTGCTTGCGTCGCTATTTAAAACCAGGTATTATTAATAATAATTTGAGAAAAAGTTAATCCATGCATTTGATAAGTTGCGTTCGCATAAAGTTTATAGGATTATGRCGAAAAAGTATCTAAAAAAAACTATATTTGATTAAAAATTACATTGCATCTAGTTGTCATTAGCTAAATACTCTAACGCCTATGGGAAGTCGAAGGGAAAGAAAAGGAGGAAGATAGTAATACAAGTACCTATCAGGTATTACAGATTACTTTCAAAAGCAGGGGGTGCCCGACTTCGTCTTAGAGCTATAATAAAATTAAGACGTTTTATGAGATTTTGCTTATCAAAACATTGGAATAACGTCATCACGATGAGCGCGGGCTCACTAAATTCATGCAGCAGAAACGATCCTTAAAGACGGAACACATTCAAAACGATGAAATTTTTGACCACTGACAACTATCGGCACGTAATTCATGTAGAGTCAAAACTGAAAGTACTATTATTAAAATTAGGGCTTCTATATATGCACTTTATTTATTTTTTGGTTAAAAATATTAATTGCACGAAAGCCCAAACATACGTACCCAAATTCTAAAAGCAGCTGAACTAAGCCTAATTAATGTGAAAACATGATCCCTCRATGAGAATAAGAGTATAGACTGAAGGGCGGATCCAGGGTTTTTTTGGAATGRGGTCTTAGGGGTAAATTTTGTGGGCAAAGGAATCCCAGTCGCATTTTTACCACAAGAAGCCCATTTGACCTCARGAATGACAGGGGGTTCGCGACCCCCMCGACCCTCCCCCTGGATCCGCCCTTGAGACTGTCAATATCCGAATGCTTTTAAAAGTAATAGTGCTTTTATAAAATAWTAACGTTCTCATTCGAATTTCCTCTCCTAATATGAGTAGTTCTGAGCAAATTTAAAGACGGGTAAAATGCCCAGTGGATTTTTGGTGCGCGTGGGAATAAACTGAGCCAAAATGGCTATTTCTTGGTGTTGCAGGATTTCTGAGCCATGACGACAATAAAACAGAATTATCGAAAACTAGTATGTAGTACAGAGGAATGCTTAATGATGCATGTTCTTTCTTATTCCAGTTTCCTCCTAATGAGTTCTGAACAAAAGAAGACGGCTAAAATGCCTAATGGATTTTTTTGGGGGCGTGGGAGTAAACTGAGGCAAAATGGTTATTTCTTGGTGTTGCAGGGTTCCTGAGCCATGAAGACAATAAAACAATAACCGGAAACTTGAGAATGAGTTTGGAGCAGTAAACAATAGAGTGCAAACAGTTAATCCGTGAAACAGTAATAAATAGTACAACTTAGTGCTAATTAAACAAAAGAAAACAATGGAATTTGCATGAAATTGTGCTTTTTAGTGTTACTAAAGTTTCACGGWTATATTGTTTGCACTCTACCCTGCAATAATAAAAATGAGAAAGACACTTGGCGCAAACGCGCGTCATCGSATGTTCATAGATTGTTCATCCTTGTAGGTTCCACTAAACTTTCATAATATTTTCGATATTTCTTACGGATTGCTTTCTATGAGAAACTGAGCATGTGGTACCGAGCAAAAGCTTGCTTGTATTTTGTCATCTTCCTGTGTGCAAGCCCTTTGTGGCTTATCATTACCCTAATATCATGGCTCTTCGGCAGAACATCTAGAATGCTTAAAGGATTTAAAGAGCCAGCAAGACCAAAGTTTAGAAGAACCGTTCTCGTGACCGACGGAACTCTAACTAAGTCTCTCCATGTCTTGCGAACACTGGCCAAAGCAGGTCATCGGATAATTCTTGTGGAATCAGATCAATACAAATATTCTGCATCGAGTTGGTCTAAGTATGTCTCGCGTACCCGATACGTTCCACACTACAATGGCAAGACCATGGACAAGTACATTGACGGAGTAGTGAAAGTGGCAGTCGAGGAGAAGGTGGATTGGTTTGTCCCGGTCAGTAAAACTTACTCCGCTATTCCAAACTATATGGTCGAGCAGAAGTTGGCAAAGGTTTGTCCTCGAATAAGATGCTTAGGATTTGGTAGTCTAGAGATGGCGCTCCTGCTCAACGATAAAAGGCGTTTTCTCAGTGAATGCCAGAGGCTTGGACTTTCCATTCCAGACTTCAGAGTCATCTCTCGAGTGAACGAATTATACAAGCTGCGAGATGAGAATTTGTTTGAGAACCATCACTATTTTTTGAAACCCGTTGAAGATYWTTCTGAAGATAGGAAAAATTTTAGACGAATTCCTCACGATTTGAATGCCTTCAAAGAGTATGTGAAGGAATACGAGAYGCAAATCACCCTTGGACGGACTTACTTTGTGTGTGAATACATCAATGGCAGTGAATACTGTTCAAACGTGATTTGCCGCAACGGAAAAATACTTGCTATTCAAGTTTGTCCAAGTTCAAGTGTTCAAATAGACTACGACGCAATAGACCATAAGGAAATAGAAGAATGGACCACAGAATTCTGCAGTAAATTGAAGATTTCAGGGGGACTCTGTTTCGATTTCATCCAAGACCACAATAACAACAACATCTACTGCCTAGAGTGTAACCCACGCCTTCATTCAGCCATAACTACTTTCCATTGTGATCCAAAACTTGCTGTAGCTATCCAAGCCGCATTGGAGCCTGAAATTGTTCAAGATGAAGAGGTGGTGTTCCCTGTCAAGCCACCAGACCAATCCCTTCATGTCTATTGGCTATAYCAAGAAGTGTACAAGCTGTTTACTGGTAGGCAAGGTATAAGGGAGCTTCTCTCTACGGTACTGCATGGAAAGGAAGCAGTATATGATCACGATGATCCCCTTCCATTTCTCATCCTGCACACGATCCACATAATGTTCCAGTTGAAGAAAAACATAGTGAATAATGCTCGTTGGAGTGTTGTCAATCCTTGCCTAGGATGTCCCACTAATTGAACCATGAAGAGAACACGATTTTTTAAAAGTACATTTGTTAGTTAGTGACTTATTAATTTTGGTATTCGTGATAGATGGTAGATGTGACTGATTCGTTGTCTTGTGTGATTCATCATTTGTATKATGCCATAAGTTCATTGTTTTGATTCAAACTTCAAATTTTATCGATATCCTGAAACAGCCTCAGGTCACTGCGTGAATTAAAAGAATAGCGACAACGATTCAATCGTACCATTTTTTTTACGATCTAAAATCGGCGTTTCAGAATCTGACGCAAACTAGGGCATGTGCAGATGACCATGTCATTAAAAATTCCAAAAACTCCTTAAGTGTAGAACAGTACGTCTTAAGAGAACTTTCTTTCTTAGTACTATGATCTCCTTGGCCAATAGTGAAATACAATAAAAACCCGMATAAAAGAACAAGTGGGTTAAGAACACCCAGCCTGAATTAGGGGCGTTTTTAGTACCCTTTAAATAAGAAGGGAATCAGCCTAACAAATTAAAAGGTGTTCTTAAAAAAAATAAGATCAATATTTATGTGCTAGACCTGTTCTACAGTACATTAATAGAGTTTAATTTAATTCAATTCACTTTTATTATCAATTTAGATTCATTTACAGTGTTACAAGTAGCAGACTCCAAGCATGACCTGACAAGAGTATATTTTTCTACTGTTTTGATACAGGCGCTGGTATTATTGCAGTAAAGATTTTTCAAATAACATTTTTGAACTTACACATTAATATCACCTACATGTATTGGTAGTCTATATAGTAATACTGTATATATTTTAGAAACATTTATTCAAAAACACCGTAAGAAGGCTTCAGGCTGATTTTCAGTAAACACCCGTTAAATAAGAACAAAATCAGCCTCAACTCCAAAAATGGGTGTTCTTTTATGCGGGTTTTTACTGAACTACATTAGTTATTTGTATAGTAGTTGTAAATAGTGAGCCAAATTTCTATTTAAGACATTGTAAATTTATTCGCTTGAGGCAAAATGTAGCCGCGTATATCATGTATGCATATAGTATAACGACTTCGKTTKTTTTTTTTCTTGTTCTTAGCTTTTACTTGTTAACTGTAATTTGTTAATTGTAATTCATTTTTATGCGATAATGTGTGATTAGACTGTTATTATTATCGCATTCATTGTTAGCTTCGCATTCTTACGTAATCCCTCCCTATATGATGTGACCTCAGTCAGTCCTCAAATACCTGGCTTGGGCTTCCTGTGTAGTAAGCCGAGAAGCTCTGGGTCCGACATGCGTTCAAAAGATTTTGAGGAACCAAGTGAACAAGTTGCATAACGATGAACTTGAATTCGCTTTTACGAGCATTTCAAGCAAGTAAATTTTGTTATCGTGCTACATATACCATCCCACTAGTACGAAGATTGTCCAGTTCGAGTACAGAGGTAAAGCGATGGGGTTTTCAAGACCAAAACCACCACGATTGCACAGCATTTCAGTCTTTCAAAGTCAAAACTTACTCCACTGGAAGATTGCTTCCCCCTCAAAGAAACTACTGTTCTTTGAACACTAGTGATTCTAAAGATGATGTATTAGAAAGAGAAGAAGCTGTTGCCGCCCAAGATCAGGAACATCCTAATCGAAGGACTATTTTTGTTGGGTCTCTTAACTATCTCACAGATGAAGACAAACTGCACCAACATTTCTCCAAGTATGGAGAGATTGAGCACCTTAGAGTCATTCGTTATACGACGTCTTCCATGCCAAAAAATTATGCTTTCGTGGTTTTTAAGTCTGTTGAGTCCGTCGAAAAGGCTCTACAAGGAAAAAACTTTCTTGATTCAAGAAGGTTAGAGGTTGCGAGGCATGATCGTGATGCTACACACGAGAGAAAGATTTTCCTAAGAGGAATACCCTTGGAACTTGAGATCAATGATATGAAAGACTATTTCTCCCAGTACGGAGACATCAAATCAGTCGATATTCCAATGACTGGTAAAAAGAGAAGAGACTATGGCTTTATTGAATTTTTGTCTGAAAACTCCCCAATCAAAGCACTAAAACGACAAAACCATGAGGTGAAAGGCCATGTCCTGCAGGTGGGCACTTGTATAGCTAAACGCAGAAAAAGTGTACCAGGCAAGATAGTAGTGGACCTTTTACCAGAAGACATTACCCTTGAAGCTGTGAGAAAATATTTTGAGCAATTTGGGCAGCTTAACTCAATTGATATGGTCTTTAAGCGTGATTTTATTTCAGCCAAGAATTTTGCTTTTCTGTGTTTTCAAAATCAAGAAGTWGCTGATGAAGTTTCAAGTAGCAAAAGAAATCATTATATTGATRGCCAAGAAGTAGTTGTGAAGCCAATGCACTCTACGACCAAGTCGAGACCAGCGTCGTCCAGGGAAAAGAAGGTTTTTATAGAAGGTATACCCCTGGGAAAGACTGAARATGAAATTATGTCATATTTCAATCAATTTGGAGAAGCGATTCATCTTCATTTGATTGAGAGTTGGGAAGAAAGAAAGATAGACCAGTGTGGAATCTTAAGGTTCAAGAGGAAAAGAGATGTTGATAATTTGTTAGCCCAATCAGAGCTCATAATGGAAGGCAGTCCTCTAAATGTACGACGACTTGGATTCACGGCTGAGACTTCATCAGAATACACTCCATTGTATTCAGAGTTTAGAAAGAAACACCAAATAAATTCCATTGATACTAAAATACATGAAAGTATTGAGGGCACAGAAGAAGAAATGCAAGAGAGTGGTCTCACCCATTATCCAAAACTTGATTGATACAGTCCTAATAGTAGAAGAATAATTAATATAAATGGAAAAGAGATATTGATTAATGATGCCCATTGTTATACAATTACTGGTTAAATTTCAAAGTTTCTAGGCTAAGACTCTATCTGGTTGTCTTGATTTCTTGGCCTTTTGCAAATCAAATTTTCAGTTGTCCACCTCTGTTAAATACCCATTGCCAC